TGGGCGGGAGCGAGCAGGCGTCGCTGTCCTACCTGGCCTTCGAAGGCGCCACGAAGAAGAACCGGCCGAACGTGCAGGTTCGTGCTCCCGCTTGCTGGCGGCAACGCGCTGGTCTCCTCGTTTGGGGGTGCTGCTGTTACGTTTTGGTAGTTTCTTCAGAGTGAAAGCGTGTTTATAAGCCGCTTGTTCATGAGGAGTGCAGGTTCGTTTGCGATGGTTGCGCCCTGGCCCGCCTTGGCAGCTCTGGCACCGTCAGGTTTGCTGAGGTTTCTCAGCGGTGCGTCCAGTTCCTGCGGCCGGCCTGGCTGTCCCAAGGGCTGGCCTGGCTATCCCAGAGCACGCTCGCTAGCTCCGTGCGTTTTCATTTGGCCGCAGCACTGCCAGCAGTGGATGCAGTTTGTCAGTAATGCGCGTCCAAGTGGGCATGCTGAAGTTACGGTTTTAAAACAAGCTTTAACATCACCAGGTACTGGTGGAAAACAGCTTTTTAATAACACTATTATAAACAGCTGTGTGGAACATGCATGACACGGCTTTTGTATTCAACTCAAATACTGTCACCAGAATGTAAAAATGACTGTGAAGAATAACAGAATAAGTTCTAGTGTGATTCTTTCTGTTGTTCTGATAAATGATTACAAAAGGAGATTGCTTAGACTTTTAATACACTTCAAGTGTGAAGAAAGATGAATTTTTGTGTTTAGTATTTAAAAAGTAAGAGGAACGCTCCATTAAATGAAATTCTGTACTTTAATATCTTCCATATTCCTAGAGGATATTGCCTTTGGTAGAAGAGAAAGTGACAATTCCTATTATACCAGTTTGTTTTTGTATCACCAATGTTTTAAAACTATTTTGTGGTCTTATGGGAAGATATTTATCAACTGTTTTTACAAATGTACAGTATGATCTCTAATACTTTTGCTTTTTGACACTGCTTTTGTTTAGGTGGGAGATCTCATTTATGGTCAGTTCCTTGTGGCAAATAAAGACATGGAACCAGAGATGGTCTGTATAGACAGCAGTGGAAGATCCAGTGGAATGGGAATAATTGGACAAGACGGGTTCCTCTTTAAAGTTTCCTTAGGTCTAATAAGAAAGTAAGTACTAAGAAAAAATTAAGTAGCTACTCTGACATGTAATATGATAAGTAGGTTTTGCACAACTCTTTCATCTGACCAGTGTGGACAATTTGGTGATCAATGTGTGCAATTGTTTTAGTGCATTTATACCAGTTTTGGTCAATATCCATACTGTATTCAGGAAGAGGAACGTTTATTTTCCCCTTTAAGAGATTTAGGTGCTCCTTTGTGTGGTATTGTGTGACCTGTTCAAAAAAAGTGATGTGATTGCTGACACAGTATGGAAGATAAAACTAGTAACTTGGGGAAATCAGACATTCAGGCTGGTGTTTTAGGTATGTACCTACTACCTTGGAGTTTAGAATTTGGAAGTGCTTGCTCTCCTTTTTTTTGCTTAATGGGATTGTGAGGGCTGTACATTCGGCTGCTAGCTGATTAAAGGGGTCCTTCCACATTGTTTTTCTGACTTGCAAAGAAAAATAAATTGCTTATTTCAAATAAGGATACTGGGGATTTTAATTTAAAACTGACGTTAATCCAGGAACCATTTCATAGGCTTTTAATTATATTGTGAACTTGAGAGTTATTTATGCTGATGTAAATATAAAATTTTTGTGCCTATCAAAGAATACCAGACTATATGGATAAATGACAGCCAAGCTTTGTTGTTGATTTTGGGTGGGTGTTTTCTGTTTGCTGCTGTTCTTTGGAAGATCAGTCTGGAGATGCAGAGCAGTTTTACCTGGGTTTAAGTAACAATTTTTCTGGTTTACATGTCACATCAGAAGTCAGTGTGAATTTACACACATTTTTCCAGCTGTCTGCTTTTTTTCTAAATTTTGTCTCTATGCAAGTAAAGTATGTTCCAAGTAAACTGCAAAATCCTGATATGTTTGTTTCTTCTTTGAGAAAGCCTATTGAAGCTTGATTTAATCTTAGATATGTCATAATATTCTTGACACTTATTTTTCAGTATGCTGTCACCTAATAAAAACCAAAATACTGTTTACCACTGTTAATATTGTGTCCTGAAGGAGAAAGGGAGTTGTCTTTTGAAAGACATCTTTAACTCTGGTGTCAAACTTATGAATAGCAGCATTTTTAAAATGTCACTTTGTCAAACAGTGTGGTTTAAATTTATTACATCATAGAATTGTTACAAAACTATCAATTCACTTTAAGTTTGTCAGGTGTTAATTCTGAATCTAATTAGAAAAAAATAACTACATTGAAGTGCTGTATTTTTTTTAGATGTATATATTTTATATGAGAGGAGAATTAAAAATCAGATCCTGAATTGCTATTTTGGATGCACCTTACCTTTTGATCTTGCTTTAATAGCTCCAGTACTGCAGTTTAGTTATTGAGTGATAATGATGTGGTCTCTGACAAATGTGAGCACTTTTTTGTCTGACTTTTTCTCATCTTGTTTACAGACTCTTGGCTCCCAAATGTGAAATAATTCAAGAGTTGTCACAGTTGTACCCGTTTGAGCTGGTTCTGGGAATGAATGGAAGAATATGGGTAAAAGCAAAAACAGTTCAACAGACTTTAATTATAGTGAATATTTTGGAAGCCTGTGAGTATATGACTGCAGAACAGAGAAAACAAGCGCTTGCTAAATTGTCAGGGAATTGATAAGAAAAAAACCTCGAGGATTTGTTTGAGATGGCAGTAGGGTGTTTTCGTTATTTTTGTATTCAGATTCATATTAAAAGCCATTTTTTAAATCAAGTGCTAGACTTCTGTTGTTCTTCAGCTTCCTTCTTTATCCACTCAGCTTATTTAGGAACTATGCTTTTACTTATGATTATGAAACCCTGTTTATGAATTGTCTGGTGTGGAAACAGTATTTAAAATTGTCTATTAGCTGGAAGTTTTGAGGTGTAACTGCTTAAGTATTCTGTAAGAAAAAGTTGTCAGTTTGTAAACTGCATATATTTGCCTTTTTAGTTAATATTAAAGCTTCAAACAATACATGTTTACTTGGGGTAGCGGAAAGTATTCTGCAGGTCAGGTGCTCTATTTGTAGAGCAGTGACAAGGAGTGATTACTGAATATTTTACAAAATTTGGAAATAGAAACAAAGGTGGAGAATGCCAAAAACTAATTACAGGGCATATCATAAAATAACCATAGGGTGATTAAGGCATATTATCAGATAAGACCCGACATATAGTCATTGCTTTCCCTAAAACATAACCTGACTAATAGTATTAAGGAAATAGTAATTAGGACATAACTTCAGTATGAACATTCCAGAAGCTTGATGGCTTGCTGGAGGTAAAAGATAACAGCAATGCTGTTTGAAGTCACTTGCAACTTAAATGCTTTTTAACTATAGATGAGGTAAAGACCACTGCAGCAATAGCCACATGTTTCTAAATTCTAAACATTTAAAATTCCAGTTAGCTTTGCTTTATGTTTCATGAAATCATGTTTAACAAAAAGCTATATTAGACTTAATTGTGTAGTAATTCCTCATATGCATATGGAGGAAACGCTGTCAGTCTGTGTTACTGCGTGAATAGTTTGCTACTGTTCTTCTGAGAAAGAAGGAGAACCCCAGAGTACTGAAAGGGGGATTACTGATGACTGCTTCCTGTGGGAGAAAAGTTTGACTGTTTGTACCCAGTGAGTTGCATTGGAGCTGTTTGAGCAGTGGTTCAGTTGTATGATGTTTTGTGGTTCTTAAGCCGAAGAGTTAGATAGCAGTAGTTAAATCAGAAAAAATGGACTGCTTAGAGTAGGCCTGAATACCATCTTAATTTCAAATGGAAGCAAGATTCGTATTCATTTCATCCAAGGTTTAGCCTGTGGTATTTATATGATATGGTTTTCTTTGGCATCTCTCTCATTTAGAAATCGCTTCAACTCAGAGCCACTCCTCTGAATCATCTTTTAATATGCTTACCTAGGGCTTCCCTTGCTTCAATAACAGCACAGCTGTAATGGTTTGCGTGTGAGTCTAATGACTACGATTCAGAATTCTCTCTGGATTTCACTGCTTTGTCTATTTAGCATTTAGGGTACTGCTCATCTGGCTTGGTAGATCTTTAGTTGTGGGTTTTTTCCACCTGTCTTCTCACAGCTGAAGTGACTTTTTTCATTCGCATCCTGTGAATCTTTAGGCCTATAATCTCTCTTAGTACACATGAAAAGCTGTAGTTTAATAAGGATTTCACTAACTGTTCCCTAGTGTTGTTTTCACCTTCAGCTAACCAGAGCCCCTGCAGGTTGTCTGTTACTAGAACAATAGCTGGCATAAGCGGAAAAGCACTTGCCAAATCACCTCGGGGTGTAAACTTTTTTTATTTTCCTGTGAATGTTCTTGGATCATAGTAGCAAAACCACAGGAATGAGGAATAACATGGTCATTCCTGAAGAGTTGTGGCCTGACATGCATTTAGCCTTGCCACTCCCCCTTTTACCTGTTTAAGTAACCTCCCTTCCCTCTCAAAAACCTGAGGTTTAAGCCTAATCTGCAATATGCACGAACAATCCCTGATTTTAAAAAGCTCTTTTGGTTGTGCAGCATAGCAAATGGTGACCTTGAATGTTCTCATCATCGGTGTTCTGTCCCACTGTCAACTGTTTATCACCCAACTATGACCTTAGTTAAATCAAGAGCAATACTGATATATGTTGGGGGTGTTTTATATTTTACTTGGAAAAAAGAAAGCTAGCTATGTTTCTTAAACCAGTTACTATCTTTGACAAGCTATAGCTATAGGGGAAATCTGTATGATACTTTCATGAACTTTTAGTTCTGGCTTGGTAACTAAACCAGTATCACTAAAAAGAGTGACAGAATATAACTGGGTTCTAGGAAGGAAGACTGATCATGAATTAATTACATGTTCTGCTGGAAATGTTACAGAAAGCCCCTCACATGCCCTTTAAAGGCACATAAACACGTGTGTTTTGGGAAATGGAACCTGAAGAAGAGATCCTGTGAACTTGAAATGTACCTTGCTTGGCAGAATGGCTTTCTGTTGCATTTGTTGTGCCCTTGACAGTTGAAGTCATACTTACAGTTACTCATTTTCAATAGTCAGGGATTGTGCATTGGGCACTTTGTTACGCTGCTATTCTTTCAAGTTGTGATGAAAGTTAAGAAGTGAAGATTGTAGATGTTGACATGGGCAAAGTCTGTATCCCCTGAAATGAGCACAACCCCTTAAAAAATAAAGTTCACAGAGTTAAATGGAAACTATACATAGAAAATATGAAATACGTAGTTTGTAGCCTTTCCTAGGTTGATGCGTTGTATAAAGACAAAGAATAAATGATAATAGAAAGTACAGATATGCCATGTTGAAATTAAATGTGATAGTAAAAGATTTGTATTTTGCTCTAGCAGAAGAAAGTTGCACAGATGTACTTCAGTGTAATAAGAGGATTAAGGGCTTAACTCTAAGGCTATGGTTAGAGTCTGGCTTTAGCTCTACTAGATTAACAGTTTACTGTGCCCAACTACTCATTACCACCTTACCAATGAAAGCTCTGAGGTTTGATTCCTAGCCGTGTTCTGTCAAAATGACCCAAATTGGCATCACTTAATAGCAGGGTTATTTTGTTTTTACAACCTAGATGTTCTTTTAGCAGAAGAAGTTATAGGATTTTTCTCTTAGATGTTAAATATTAAGAGCAGCTCATCTACTGCTGGAGAAGGTCAAATTTGCTAGAGAAAATGCAGTTTTCGTCCTGAGTGCTTGAACAAATAGTTGTGACGGCTAAATTGAGCAGTAAATCCATGTGTTGTTTTGAACCTTGCAAATTGGTCACCTTATATAAAATTTACCAGTTTTTCTAGCTACATACAACCAACTTGGTGAGATGTTATTTGACTGAGTACAGAAAGTGTCCTAAGTACAATGCAAGACACTTTGGTTGTATTAGTAACGCAGGAAGCCTTATCCTTACTGATGACTTGTGTAGATTGCAAGATGCGTAACTACTATTGAACTCAATGGTAAGGAATTAAACATGTCAGTTTTGCCCCAACAACTTGAGAGCGAGCCTAGAAACATGTTGGGTGTCTGGATTTTAGCAGAAACTATGCAGTGGTTGTGGGCAGTTAACCAGGACTGCTGCACAATGACTTTACCACTGATGCGCTGACCTCACAGAAGTGCCGTTACTGTGGTTTCAGTGCTATCAGTATGGATATTGTGGGATGTTCAAGAGCCTGGTTTTGCTTACAGAGCCTGAAGCTTGTCCACAGTTCTAGAAGCTTGAATAGTCATTAAAATAACTCCCTTTACTGGTCCTCAACTTCCTACCTGGTGTGAGAAAAACTGAGCAGTTGGAATAGAATAACAGTATAGGTAGCAGTGCAGTAAACGGAACAAAGCAAAACTGTAGGCCACAGAGATTCAATTTTGCTTTAATTTTACACTTACCTGACATAAAGGTATTAAAGACTGAAGGACAGACAGAAGGACTGATGACCTCATCTGCTCTTTCCGAAGTCTTTGGTTATCTGTTGCACTGTTGTAAATGGTAGGCTTTTCTGTGATTCAGAGAAGAGATTTGTATAAGCAGCTGTAAACCTGTTACAAAGCCTTACTAATTCTTTCTTCCTGATCTTGTCCACATAGAGGGTGTTGCACCAATCTCTCCCTAGTGTTCCACTGTGAACTGCTCATGTGAGTGATACCGATGTCAAAAGACTTAGGTCCTTTTGTTTCTTCAGTGACAACCACACCCTGATCTTACGTAAGATACATCTTAAGATCCTGTGTGCAGGCTGTCTGTAGACAGACTGGTGCTTTTTTATCTGCTCTAGCTGAAACCTGTGTCAGTCTGCATCTCTGTACATGGGTGAAAAGTTTAAGCTCTATTTTTGTATATCTGCATCCAATCTTACTGGCTCAGTATCAGAAATTTTAATTAGCCTGGAATTTTCTACAGACATAGGTCCTGCCTTAGTCCACAACTATGTTTCCTCGTTGCTTTTGAGATTTCCTGTTTCTTGATAGAAAAGACTGCCTATAAGCCATTTAACAATGCCTTTGGTCTAAAGCTGATCTATAGAAGCATGAGCCAACAAGAAACAGAAATAATTAACTTCTGAAATAACACACAGCTTTATCATTCTGTACATGAATTGAAAGTTTCGTAACACTAGATCATGTTTTAGCATAGATACTGACACAGTGCATGCCGGGTGACTTATGCACAGGCATGCTTGGGAATTTAATTAACTGATATACAAGCAGTTTGCAGACTGATACTCTTCATTCAGTTTAACTGCTGTAAAACTGAATTATGAAAGCAGGAAGAGCAAGGCTCAATGTGCCTTTTAAGAGCACTATTCAGAACCTGAAAGCTAGATTAAAATGTTGGTGCCTGTTGCTTTGTGAAGTATTCTTTTCATGTGTGCTAGGGACTTTATTTTTCTCTTTAACAGGAAAAATGTGTGAATAACATCTGAATAGGTGTATGGGAAAGCTAAACTGTTACAGATGAATCATAGTATGGTTTTATCAAGAGGGAAAAACGGAAATCCAAAGAAGTCAAATTGCCGTTCAGCTATCCTGCCAGAATCTCATTACTTTTCTGAGGCAAAAGTAGTCTAAATAAGGAAGTCTAATAAGGAAAAAGTAGTTGCTGTTCCAAGTGCACTTATGCAACATGGTGGCTTTTCATGGAAAGGAAATCTTTCTGGAGATGGAAGCAGAGAAGGTTAGATTCCGGTATTTTCATGGCACCTTTCGTGAGTCTGC